CCTTCTAATAATTCCTCTCAATCCCTCTCTAAGTAAACTCCAGACTCCCCAAAGGCCTTCCTCAGTCCCACAGACAACACACCCCGCGTGGAAGCAGAGGTCTTCTTACATTCACCCTTTCAACAAGTATTCACCCAGGACTTCTGTGCTTGCAGGCACTGTTCTAGGTACTGGGGACAGAGTTGTGAACAACAGTTTTTATACTTTCTACAGGGATGGGGGCAAGAGGGCTCTACCCTGGGGAGTGGGTGGAGAGGGCTCAGAACTCAGGTTTTCTCTAGGTGGCAGGCAGGGGAACTCCCAGGTTCTCAGCTGAGTGGGTCCTGTGCCCCACACCCCTATCCTCACAGCCAAGATTCCTGGCAGTAAAGAGCAGATGTAGTTTCAACACGGACGGAGGACTGGAGTGCAGAGAATAGGGTATCTCCCCTTCCTGAGTAAAATCTTCCTTAGACTCGGAGAATTCATTATTTCTGCCTCCTCCCACCCCCATCCCAGTCCGTATCATAGTTAAACTCCAAGAGTAGCCCCCCACCCATCCTGACATTCAGGGGGACAGCCTAGGTATAGTGTTCTTGTCTGCCTTTACCCAGAAGCAACCAGGGATTTGATGCCAGCTCAGAGACTCTGGTGTCCTTCTAACCATGCCTTGGCCTGACAAGATGGGGCCCTAAAAGCAGCCACCAAATTGAGCACGTCTCCACCCCCAAGACCCCCAACACCTCTCATGCACCACAGCTTCTAGATACACCCTTGTGGTAGCATCAAATTCTCCATTCCCCAGGATCCCATATGGGGCAGGTCACTACCTGCAGGTACCCTGCCTTGCCCTCACATCCGTAAGCTAGCAATAAATTGTTTCCATTGAACACATGAGGGCTGCTGAGGTTCAGAGAGGTTGAGTCACTTGCCTAAAGTCACAGAGCTGTGGGTTAGCTGGAATTCATTCAAGGTGCAGCATATTCTCGGCTCCTTCTAGGATGGGGAGGCATAAAGGCTACCTTCCAGCTAGCCCTGTACTCTGCACCAGCTAAGTGGGAAATACAAGCTGGGGGCCGAGGTTATCTCCAGCCTGACTTGAAGGTCAGTTCCTATTACACACATGTCCTGGCATGGACTGCTCACACAGGCAAGCAAGTGAGAGGGCCCGTAAGTTACCATGAGGGCAAAGGGGATGAGGGGCTGGGGGTGGGACAGGCCTTCACCCACCACTGCTCTTCCCTGTGCGTGTCTGTCTTTTCTGAGTGAAGGAAGAGTCCTCTCTCTGGGAGTAAATGAGGACGCGCCAGCGAAGAGGAGGCCAGGGACTAGAGCTCGGCCAATAAAAGGCCGGGGTTAAAGAGAGAGCTCTACCTCCCTTCCGCGTGCCCTCATCCCCATTCCCCGCACCCAGCGCAGCTGGAGGCGCGGCGCCTCCCCAGTACCGACAAGATTGATCGAAATTAACCATCTACTCGCCCGCCCGTTGCGGAGGTCAGCAGCGACGGCGGGTTTCAGGCCCAGGAACCAGGCCGCCCACGCCCCGCTCGGGTCCTGGTCCCCGCAGCTACCACCCGCCCCCCACCGGCCCCTGCGCGCCACGTGCTGCGCGGCTCAGCACGCTGTGCGCGGGGGAAGCGAGGGCCCCACCCGGCGTTCCCCCTCCCGGCCGCGCAGTTGCTAGGCCTGGCCTCCCTGCCCTCGTGGCAAGCGCGAAGAGGCGCCTTCCACCCAGGCGGTCCCCGGACCCCAGCCCCGGGCCGCACCTGCTGGGAAAGGGTCCTCCCGCGCTGAGACCTGCGAGCTCTCTCCGCCGCTTCCCGCGGCCGCTGAAGCACATTCAAACCCTCCCTCCGCTGGGCCCGCCCCTCTCCGCGTCCGCGCCCCGCCCCTCCCCTTTCCCCCGCCCACCGCCGCCGCTCCGCCCACCAGCTCAGCAGATTCCGACTAGCAGGAACTCACCGCGTAATCCCCGCGTCCCCCAGGGCTGCCTGGCTCCCTCTTCGCGTTATTTCTGTAGATGGGACCTCTTTGAGCCCTACCACACCACACCTGCTCCATCAAGGAGCAGGGGGCTGGAGGGCACAGAACCCACTGGGTAACTCTAGTCTCCACCTTGGGGCTACGCAAACTCCCACAGAGCTCGTCTGGGTGCTCTGCCAGCGACAAACCTGCTCGGACAGGTCAGGAACGCCCCCATGTCCACGCTTCACCCCAGATGTCCCAAACGCCCTCCCAGGTCACTTTCTTCCACGCTGTGCCTTTTCCAGTGCCACTTTCTTCCCTTCAGATCTGTCCTCTGCCTGCCCCACTCCTCCGTGGGAGCCCTCGGACATAATTAGCATAGCCAATGGCCTGCATGGTGAGTTTAAGGCACACAGACCCACACACAAACACCATACTACCCACTACTTTGACGTGGAGGGGGAATGTGTGGCTATAGGGATGGGGGAGGCGGGCAGGGGATAGACGCACAGCCTGTAGCCCCCTCATGATTCACTCTAAGTACAGAACTTTGGAAAAGTTGAGGCACAGTTGGAGATGGGAAGGGGAAAGTCCTAGAACAGCCTTACATCCCGAGCGAATTCTATTGCCCTGAGACTGAGGCAGAGGTGGAGCCTTGCTGAGCCCCACATCCTCCACCAGCTGAGGAGCGGTCAGTACTTTTTGTACCTCCGAGGGAGGGGTGAGAATTCTCTCCTTGTATCGGTCGTTCAATTTGGGGTAGATTGGTGGCCCTCAGTGCTGGAGACAACCCAAAGGCTGGAGAGGTACTGAGGACAGAAAACCCAATCCAGTCGCACCCCAGCTAACCAAGAGGCCTGTCTTCTTAAAAAAGCCATAGACGCTAATTAAAAATTAGTAGGACTAACACCATAGGGATAAGGCGGAGACACCCTCTCCGCAGAGAATAGACTGAGCCTTAAGGAGAAAGGTAGCTTTTCTGCTTAGGATCGGTGGACTCTCCTCAAGCTAGCCCAGAAGGGACGTTCCCAGCCATCCAGCTGGGACATCCCATGGGAACATGGGGGTGTGCCCCATGGAGACATGACACACCATCACCGCCCAGCCTTACCCCAGCGGCAGGAAGAGGGATTTGGGTGTTGTTTTTCTAGGCACCGGCCCACGGCTTGAGGGCAGCTTCACGTCTGCATCTACGTCCCCCTCACCCCGAGCCCATACCCACTGTGTTTGTCCAGTCTCTGTCTCTTCCTCTCCTGGTACTCCTCTCCCCGCTTTGGCCCCTGTCTCCCCACGTTCATTTCCCATCTCTGGGCCTGTGGGGGTGGCAGGCTTAGTGGTCAGGCAGATCCGCCAGGCATGGCCAGGCTGGTGGCCAGGAGCTGCGGTTGTGTGCAAAGGGGGCTGGGAGTGGAAAGAAACTGGAGGGAAGTGGTGAGGGTCCCAGGCTGGATGGGCGAAGGCTGTTTCCTCTCCCCACCCCCACCGAGGCCCGGCCTGCTCACTGGATGGCAGCTGCCAGGGCTGTTATTTATTGCTGGAGAGAAGCCTGTCTGGCCCTCACCCGGCCTGGGCCCTCAGCCAGCGCCCACGCCCCTGCAGATACACTTCCCTGGCCAGAGATGGCTGCTGGGTGTCAGGGCCCTCTGCTGGACGGCCGCGGAGCCCCAGCTCACTGGGGTTCTTCTAGGGAGGCCCAGTCAGTCCTGTCCGTCACCGCCCAGTCCTCTGGCTGCCCCTCTCCGCGGCCTCCCTCGGGGCCCTAACACAGGAGTGGGGTGGGAAGGGCTGATCCAGCCACACCCCAGCCCCATCATCTCCCCGGCGACCCCTGCTGCCCGCGCACCCGCGGAGGCCCTGGAGGGGGCATCCGGGATTGGAGAGGCAGGACGGAAATTCCCGGCCGGCATGTCCCTGGTCCTCCTCCAGGCCTCCTCACCTCTGGGCCCCCGCGTGGCCCTGGCCCGAAATCAACATCCGCGCCGGATCTGCCCGGTCTCGTCGCCTGGCTGCCACGGGCGATCTCGGAGCCCGACCCGCGCTCCGCCGCCGGCTCTGTTCCGCCCAGCGCCGCCCGCTTCGGTGCGCCGCCGGCAGCAAGGGAGACCGGCGGGAGGGAAGGAGAAGGCCCCAAAAGGACGCCCGTGACCCCGGGGGGGAACGGAGTTAGGAGACTATGGTCTCGAAACCCCTTCATTGCCCCTCCCCCCCACCAAGGTCGCCTTCCCGAGACGGAGGAGCACCTGCACGGGTTTTTGAGGACTCCTGGAGAAGCAAACGTTGGCGAGGGGTGGGAGGCCACGGGGGGTGGGGTGGGAAAGGGGGGGCCACCAGAAAGCCCTACGGGGCTGTGGGACGCACAGCTCGGGCCTCGGTTCTTACCGAGCGCCAAGCTTCCCGCGCCGGCGTGGGGACGAGATGAGGGTACTGAAGGGAACCTGTGTTTATCACTACCTGCCTCTGAACCTTAGAGCCCAACATCCGATGGCGGAGGGAGGGAAGGAGCATTATTGCATGGGAACCTTAAGCAAATTATCCGGAGGCTGGAATACAATAAATCTGCCAACTCTTATTTGACCCCTGAGGAGTCTACCACTGGGGGGTTGGGGAGGAATGATCAGGTGAATTCCTCAGGTATCCCCCCACACCAGATCTCTTTAGGGGCCTGCACTTCTTGCACTGCTTCCCCGGGGGCTGACCAGGGTCCCTTAGCAAACTAATCTCCTCTCCCCAACCCACTAGCTGAGAAGTCTCTGAACGCTGGCTGTCAGGAACATTTTCCTCCTTACCTTGAGCTGGCCAGCTAAACCTTCTCCAAGTCAGACCCAAGACTACTGGGAGGTCACAGTGTGGCATGGTGACTGAAGTTAGACAAGAAAAACAACTTCCAGGAGGTGCGGACAGAGGGACAATGGCATGGGAAGCAAAAGGAAGCTTTAAGTTGTTCCCCACCCCCACCCCCTGGCCAGGTTAGACAGTGTTGCGTCAGAGGGTGGGTGACAAGACGTTCAAGGCGTCCCAAGAATTCAAACCAACAAGGTTTTATTGAGCATCTGCTGCATGCTGGCCTAGGGGCAGGACTGCCTCCCCAGGATCCAAGGTCTTACTATTTTAAATTAAACCCTTAGTTTGGAAGACAGTCTGAATTAGTCTTGTCCCTCTCTGCTAGAGTGTCAGTTGTCCACGGGTTAAATATTGTCCCTCGCTGGACCTCATGTCCCCATTTTCCTGGAGGAGAAAGGGGAGAGTCGTATCTTTCTCCCTTGAGATCAGAGGGGATCAGGAAAGTTACACAGGGAGGGAGGGAGGGGTAATGAGCAGTTTTCTGCTAGAGGCATGACATCCATCCAGTCATTTTTGCTGGGAGTAGGGAGGCATGTCCTGGTCAGACCCCTCTCCTGCTCATCTCCCCACCATGTCTTCTGCCCACTGGGTGGGCTGTGGTCAGTAATGGTGCCAGGACTGTGCTACTCCGAAAGAAAGCGTGTCAATGGATATGGCCGCTACTAGGACTTGTGGCCTCATTTTTGGGGGCTTAGTCTCCCCCTCCTCTCCGGGCGCGCCACTCTAGAGGCCTCCTCAGCATCTGGAGGGTGTCTCTGGCTGAGGACGAACAATAGACAGCCCAGCAAAGCCTCTCGCATGTCGTGGGAGCCCAGGCGTTGAGCCAGTCTGCGCAGCAAGGGCAGGAGGTGCTGGCGGGCCAGGCGGGCGGCAGGCAGCAGCAGACGGGCCAGCAGTGTCCTCACCAGCATCGGGAGCAGCGGAACAGGCATGGCGGGTTGGTGACTGTGAAGGCAATGGAGACTAGGCTTGCCCCTTCCCTGCTCCCCCACTCACAGGGCAAAGACTTGGGGTGGACAGGATTCCCCCATATTGCAGTCTTTCAGTTTACACCCTAATGCTCCCCCAGTCCTCCATTCATGGGTCATTTGTGTTTTTCTGAAGCCCTTTCTCTTGGCAAGATAGCTGGGTGGGAGAGTTCTCACCAAAGGGCAGACCCAGCCAAGGCATGCATAAAGCTGGGGCCAGGACCTGCAGAGTGCCTCCAGGGGCCACTCCTGTTCCCTGGACCCTCCCCTCCTGTAGTCACCCCCCTTCTCATGCACACCCTCAGTCTCCCTGCATCCCCACCTCTTCTCCCTCCGTCCAGCAGTTCTCTCCCAGGCAATTCTGTTTTCTTTTGACGGCCCTTGATCCACCCTGACCTGACACTTACTACCCTCCCAAACCCCCACACCCATCCCCACCGATCAGCAGCAGCTCTCACCAGTCAGAACTGCTGCTCAGAATCAGTCTCTGGCTGAATTTGCCTGCAAGGGGCACTGCCTCACTGGACTCTACAGAGCTGCCCCACCCAGCTGAGCCCCACCCAGGAGAGCTTGCTTGGGTGAGGAAGCAATGAACAGACAGCTGTGTTCTGGCACCTGGTACATTGAGGGCAGGAGGCAGCTGGGCTGGAAGAAGTAATTGGAAGGAGCATATGCTGAAATTCTTCCTGCTGGGGACAGACCTCAAATTACACTTTCAAGGGTGTGACCACAGAAATGGCACATTGATTCTTCTGGGCTCCAGTCCCCTCCTCTGTTATCTCAGTAATTGGGAGTATCTGGAAGCAGTAACCAGAATGGAACAATGCATGTAACCCCCTCTGTCCAAACCTCAGAAGCTGTAAGGCTGCAGCCCAGACATACCAGGCATGCTCACTGTGGCTGAGACAGGGAGACTGGGATCTGGGCAGTCCCTTGTGGCTGTCTCCTGGGGGTAGAAGAGCAGGGTCAAGGTCCATCTCATAGCTCGGCCCAGATGGACACAGGTGGGTGGCACTTCCACTCAGGGACAGGAAGAGGGATACCCACTTCAGGACCCTCTTCTCTGTTCCACTCCCCCAAGATTAAACCAAGTTCCATGAAATAGCAAGATACAGGATCAGCCTGGGGGTTTGTTTTTAAATACCTTATTCTCCTACTTCATAAATTGGGTACAATCTCTACCTTGCTGGACTCAGATGAGATAATGGCCATGCAAGTGTTTTGTGAACTTCACTGCCTTGGGAGTGTGATCACTTACATCATCCTAGCACCAGCCTCATTGGCATCATCACCATCTCCAAAACCATCAAAGACCCTGAAGAAAGAAAAATGTCAGAAAGACCTGTCCCACTTCTGCCTGGAGAAAGCAGGGAAGAAGGGCTGGAGTACAGATTACACTCATCATAGTCTTCCTCTCCTTCCTGTTGCTTCCTGAGGAGTTCTGATGGCCATGCGTCACCTCTGGGTCGAGGGCAGGACATATATTGAGTACACACATGTGCCAAGCCTGGGAACTCCTGATCTCACTCAGTTCTTACCACCACTTGGCAGGGAAGCCGTTACTATAACCATTGTACTAATGAAGAAACTGAGGTTCAGAGTGGCTAAGGAACTACACAAAATCACTCAGCAAATAAATGGCCTGATCTTGCCCCAAACCTGCCCCTCCCTCAGGTTTTCCCATCTCTACAACTGCATCTTTCTAGTTACTCTGACCAAAATCTTGGAAGTTATTATTGATGTCTCTCTTCCTATCACAGTTCACTATCCAGAAATTATTCAGAATCTTACGACTTCTCACTGACACCACCATGATTACTCTTGTCTTGAGCATTCATCATCTCTCACCTAAATTACGTAGTAACCTCTTAACTGGTTCCTGCTTCTCTTTTTTACAAAGTGACCAGAATGATCTTTATAAAACATGAATCAGATCCTGTTTTTTCTGCTCAAACTGTCCAATGGCTCCTGTCTCACTCAAAGTTAAAGCCAGAGGCTTTAATTGTGACCTACAAGGCCCTAGATGATCTGACTTCCCCTGGCTTCCTGATTCAACTTCTAGTCCTTGCCTGTCTTACTCTTCCCTAGCCACACTGGCCTTCCTGTGGCTCTTTAACTGTAACAGACATGTTTTTGCCCCAGGGCCTTTGCATCTACTATTGTTCCTGCCTGCAAGGCTCTTTCTCCAGGTGGCTACATGTCTATATTTCTCCCCTCATTCAAGTCTTTGCCTGGTGTTACCATCCATTCAATTTAAAAGCACACCCCTCCCCCCCATCTCCTGCTGCCTCCTTTCCATCTGCTCCTCTGCTTTGTCTCCACAGCAAATCATTGTCTGACATGCCATATACTTTATTTTACTTCCTTCTCTTGTTGATTATCTTCCACCCCTCACCATAATGTAAACTTCATGAGAGTAGGGACTTACATCTAGTTAGTCTGCTGCTGTGGCCCCAGTATTTGGCAATCAACATTTGATGGAAGAATAAATAAATGAAAGTTCTGTGACAGGATCCAAACCCCAGGCCTGCTTGCTCAGAGCCTGTGCTCCTGAGCCCCAGTGCCCCACTGATTCACACACACACACCCAGGATGTGTGTGAGAACCCTGGGGGCCAACGACAGCACGCCACTGGGAGGAGAGGAACTGACCGCACCCGGCCAAAGGCAGGGACAGCCTCAGTGTTCCCTCTGGGAATCTCCAAAATGCGTAATTGCAAGGGAACTATGGAGGCCTGACCAAGCACTGCCCCGATCTGCTAAACCACACCCCACCCCACCCAACCTCAGTTTCCATAGCTGTGGGATCTTCAGCTGTGAGATCCTTGGACCCTGGGCCTGGGGCCAGACTCCTGTCCCATCCCTACCACCTATAAGCAGAGAGAGGGGCTCCAGGGGCCAGGAACACTGGGGTAAGTAAGGGAAACAGGATGTTGTCTCAGGTAACAATGGGGAGCCCCAGAGGGTGTTGGGAAGGGAGCGGGGAGGGGCAGCGGCTGGGTCCAGGGCATGGGTCTAGCCAGGTCTAGTCAGTTTGCTGTCTATCCCCTTCTGGGGTGAACTCCCTCCCCATCTCCTTCCCACCCTCACCTGGGATTAATCTTACCCCCGGCCCTTCAGCCTGCCCCAGCATTTGCTCCAAGTCAGAAAACCAAGGTCTCACAGTCCTTAGGATTTCCTCAACCTTTCCTGGAAAGATAACCATCCTTTCTGGCAAAAAAAGCTGCCACAGGAGCAGTCTCTTCTAATTCCTGATTCAGCTTTGTTTAATGGATCCTGCCTGCACTGACTGGCCCTCTACCCTCCCATACTCTGCTGGCTGGGGAACGGCCAGCAACTTTGAGGAAATTGGCTAAACCTCCTGTTCCTTAAAGTCACTTAAAAAAAAAGTATCTAGGTGCCAACTTGTGAGTTGAAGCCTGTGGGCTGGTCAGTAAGTGACCTCTGGAGTCCTCCTCTCTGGTCCCCTCTGCTGATGCTCAGGCCCAGCCATCCAGAAGCAACCTGGGGACCCCATCACCTCCATCCGTAGGCATCAGTTACTTGGGCCATCCATGCCAGCAACATGCGTTGAGTGTGCACAATGTGCTGGACCTGTGCAAGGTGCCGGGGACACAGGACAGTTACACTAAATGTCAGCAGGGTGACAGATGAGCAGCTGGGTAAACCAAGGACGGGGTGTGAGAACTGTAACCACGCTAACGGGTTCTGGTAAGACCTGGGAGTGCTGGGCCTTCCGCCCCTCACACCCCTTTCTGCTTGTTCCCATCCAGGGGATGGAGGCACTCTGCAGCCTGGCCACTGCCTCTGCCACGTCCTGCAGGGGAGGTGAGGAGTGCTTCTGCGCTTGTGGCTCAGATCTGCTTTACGTGCTGGCTCAGGAGCCTCTCTCTGGATGGCTCTGGATGCCTGAGACGGTGCACAGCACAGCCAGGGGTGGGGATGACTGAAGCCATCTGCTATGCGGCGGCCCCCTTCCCCCATCGGCGATTATAATACCTGCCACTGACAGGATCAACAGATGGGAGAATACTTGGCTCCTAGAAGGTGTCCAGTAAACAAGCTCCCTTCCTTCCATTGTTTTGGGTTTTACCTCCCAGTACACCCTGAACCTGAGGCCAGCCGAGTTGGCCGCTCCTGGAAGGTCTGCCACGAGGCACCCTGATGCTCATGAGCAGCTGCCGACAGGATGCTGGGGCTCAGTTAATGCTTGCAGAATCAATGGAGGCCTAGGTCCCCTTGGGGCCTGGGGCCCTGGCTTGTTACAAGTCACTGTCCTGTTGGCCCTTCGGGGGGACCAGCAGTGGCCTAGAGCCCTTCCCATGTGTTGGAGGTTGAGGCAGTCTGAACCTCCAAGGAGTTTTGAAAAGAGGCCCCTCAAGGACAGTGGGTGCTGAGGGTGTGGGTGCCAAGCAGCATGTTGTGGAGGCTGGCCAGGCTTGGAAGTGCTGGTGGAGAAGGGCAGCGTGCTGGCCCAGAACTGGGAGTTCAGGCCTGTCACCTGTCACAGCACCTCTCTGCCGGTGACAATAGTCACTTATCTACCTGAGTGGGCTGCTGTGAGGACGCTTGGCCTGAATGTGGTGACAACTGAGTGAGTACTTTGTGGGTTGCAGTCCCTCTGGGGTAAGAGATTGTACACTTGAGAGGGATAGTCCCTTACTTATGACCACCATTCCTTTGTACCCTAACTCCAGGCAATGACAGACCCAAGAACAGGGTACTGGGCAGTAGTAGGACATGCCAGACATGCTTGTAAGACACAAAGAAAAGGGGGCAGGGAGTTGGATGTTGCCTGAGAGAGCAACTGGAGCTGACAGGTGGAGCCCTTGTCCCCCAAAACAGTTGCTCTGGTCAGGGAGAAAGAGGCCCAGAGTGCAGCCTGTGTAGAATGCAAGCCACTGTTCCCCTGAAACAACTGTTACCCTTCCCAGACTCAGCTGACAGGACCGGGGATGGGAGGTGTGAGCTCTGTCCGTGCCGGCAAGGCCTCACAGGAACATCGGCTGCTGGGGCAGGACAGCTGCTCCCTGGACAGTGGGAAGGAGGAGCCCCAACCCAGGGGCTGGAGTCGTGGGTAAGGAAGGTCGTGGCTGGCGTACTTGATGTGGGAAGGAAGAGTAACAAAACCCGTAGGAGTAAACCTAACAAAGACTGACCAAGACCCTAAAGGAGAAAACAAACAGTATTTTTCTATAGGGACCAAGAACGAAGACCTAAACATATGGATGGTCAAGGTAATGGTCAGGAAAGTTTTATGTTATAAAGCTATTATATCTCCCCCAGAGTAATCTGGAAATTCAATGCAATTCGATTAAAATCCCAACAGAGTTGGGTTTTTTTCCTTTCTGGAATTGGGTGAGCTGATTGTAAAATTCATATGGAATTAAAAAGGATCAAGACTACCCAAGTCATTCTGAAGATCTGGCCTATCTGTTAGATGGGAATTAAGACTGTGGCAAGAAGAGACACAGTGACTGAAGTACAGACTAGAGAGCTTAGAAACAGACCCAAGAGCATAAGGGTCAGAGGGGG